GGCGGGGCGCGGCGGGGCGGGGCGCGGCGGGGCGCGGCGGGACGCGGCGCGGCACGGAGCGTCTTGGCTGCGCCCAAACAAGACCCAGCTCGGCTGCTCGGCCCCAGAGGGGGCCCATGGCCCATCACTCTTCGGAGGCCACCCCCCTGGTTCGGCTCGGGCCGGGCCGGGCCGGCGCGGCGCGGCGCTACCCTGCTTGCCGCTGCTTGCCGCTGCTTGCACACTGCCGCCCCCCGCGGCGCGGCGTGGACCGGACCCCTCGTCTATCACATCACTTGGGGGAGCCTGCTATCGAGCGATGTGCCGGCGGCCGGTGCCGGCTGAGGTGTCGGCGGCCCGGGGCCGCGGGGCCCCCGAGCGTCGCATACCTGGGCGGACCGCCGGCCAGACCGCCGCCGCCACCACCGCCGCGCCCTCGCCATTGTGCCGCCAGGTCAAAGTTACGCCGACCGAGTCGTGTTCGGGACCCGCAGGCATCCCGAGTGTGATCCGCGCAGTGGAGGCGTGCTAGTGCAGCACGGCGCCCTCGCCTCGCCACCCGCCGCCGCGTCAGCTCGCCGTCAGCGTCCTCGAGGGCTCCCCCAGCCACAGGTGAGGGCCATACAAACTCCAGCCAGCCAACCAGAGCGCTGTAAGTCGACGGCTCGGTACCCACATTGTTTGAAATAAGGAGGAAGGAGGATGGGGTGGTCTGCATCTAGTGGGCCAACTATTGTGGCGCGGATATCTCGTTAAAACTTGCCACGAGAATCTTGCTCGTCCGTCTTCCGTCTCGTCTCTGGCAGAGCGTAAAGTTTGCGGCCAGCCGGTGCGGACCCCCGAGCAGCCGGGACGCTGGCCCGCCGCGCGCGCAAGTAGTGCAGGCGCGGTCCACGGCGGCGCCGACGCTGATGTTCCTTCGAGTGCCGTGGATGCTGCGGAGGGAGGCCCTCGCCACCTCTTTCGCGCCATATTTTCCCCGCCCACCTCGGCGCGCTGCGCGCTTTTCCAGTCGCGTCGGGGGTTGAAGCCGCTCGCCCCGATCCACTCCGTCACCACCAGGACCGGCGCGAGTGCGTGTCAGCCACAGAGGGGAGGTTAGAGGGAGGGGGAAGGGGGGCGCTCCAATTGATTGGGAAGCAGAAGCCGCCGAGGGCCGGGCCGAAGGTTCCGCCGCCGCCGCTGCGTGGGCCGGAGAAGCTTGTGTATATATTCCTGCCGTGTAATGGCAGCCTTCCATTCACGTCACTTTCTCATTGTATAGGGAAGGGACACGATAATCGAGTTACACGAGTGAGAAGAAATCATGGCGCGTTTCCGGATACATGAACTTTGATTAATATTATCGGAATAACATAATTTTTCGGGTTAACATTATGGGCTTGTATCGATAGGGGGAATGGGTGAGGGCGAGTTGGTGAGTTGGAACATCCCGCGTTTACCAGTGCGCGGCAGAGAATCCAGAACTAAGTTGAAACTTTGTTGTTCCGCAGAGCGCGCCAGCGCGCCATGCCGGCGGTCGCGGTGGCCACCTCCCCGGCGGACGCAGGCGGCGAGGAGTACCTGTTCGACCGCACGGACGTGCGCGCCGTCTTCATCGCCCTCTACACGGCCGTCTTCCTCGTCTGCTTCTTCGGCAACCTGCTCGTCATCGTCGTGGTCTCGCTGTCGCGCCGAATGCGCTCCCGGACCAACCTCTTCCTCGTGAACCTGGCCGTGGCAGACCTGTGCGTCGGCGTGTTCTGCATCTACCAGAACCTGTCCATCTACCTGGTGCAGAGGTGAGCTGGTCGCCCGGTGAGGTGGGGAGCGGGAGTGATACAGTAGAGCCCATCGATATTTGGCGCCCGCACTAGATGGCGCGTGTGCGAGAGAGAAAGCTGTAGAAAAATAGCAGCGTTTTACCTCAGGCGCCTGCCGAGCCGACCCGCCTACCGGGGGAGTGGGGAGGAACTGAGCGCGGCACCGGCCAGCGCGCTGAGAGGCACTTTTCAGAAAAGAAACCCAGAAAGATCAAGGAAAAGTAAGGGAAAAATAGGGACAAATTTAGAAAAAAAAATTAAAAAAATGAAACAACAAGGAATATCAAGACAAGAAAAAACTGAAAAATCGGTGTGAAACGGAGGCTCTGCTTGCGACCAGCTGGGTGGGCTGTAGGACTGTCCCTCTGGGTCTCGCTCTGGGTCCTCTGGGGCCCGCGGTGCCACGCGCTGGAATAAAGTAAAGCGCAACACGAGCAGTCCGCCCCGCCCTCGAGCCGCCCGCTCGACCCGACTCTCCCCGGCTTCAATTGCTGCCAGAGTCAAATTTCTTATCCACACCCCCAAAGCCTAACCTAATTTTGCCGCCACGCTCCGTATTTCCTTCTCTTCCGTTCTCAATTGACCCTCCCGCCCGCGCTGCCGCCGTGCCACTCTCCCGCAGCCGCGTGGCGGGGATGGGGCCACTCTCCCCCTCGCAGCTCGGCGCGGGACCCGGGGGGAGGGGGAGGGGTGGCGAGCGGCAAGTATCAAGCTCAGAACAATGAATAGCGGTCTCCGATTGCAAACGGGTCGCGTCCGAAGATGAAACCTTCCCCCCTACACGTTCCAGAGGAGCGCCCACCCGGACGCACCCCCTCCGGGTCCGCCCCATAGCCCGTCGCGGCGCGGGGGCGGCGCACGAGTTGAGCCTGTAGCCGCCGTGCTCGTTTTGTCGCGGTTTGGGGCGCTGCCAGCATCCCCGTAATTGGGGTGGGCGCGGAAGGGGAGCTAGGGGAAAGCGGAGGGCACCTTCTCCGAAGTACGAAACAGCAGCGGACCCCTCCGCCCGGCCGGCGTTGTTGTAGCCAGGGGCCGGCCCAACCCAGGCCCCGTGCGAGTTCGTTACGGGCACGGCCGGACCATACGGCGCTGTGTCGGGGCAACTTGCCAAAGGAGCCTGGTGTGTGCGGCGGAGGCGTGGTGTGCGACTGCAGCGGTCGGCGTTCTCTGTTGCAGAGGAGGAGAGGACCCCGTAAACAGCGCTCTCAGTCAAACGAGGCACTTTTCAGCGCCCCGAGTCGTTCTCACGCGCGGGGGCCATTTAACTTTGCATATATTTGTACGGCACACTGCTTGTATGTGAAAAATGGAGAGGGGGAAGAGGGAGAGGGCGTCTAACTCTTTTTATTATTCTCTGACACGGCTCCTCTTCCTGTTTCGCAGCTGGGTGCTGGGCGACGTGGTCTGCAAGCTGTACCACTTCGTCCACAACCTGAGCTACACGGCGTCCATCTTCGTGCTGGTGGTGGTGGGCGTGGAGCGCTACCTGGCCGTGCTGCACCCCATCACGTGCCGCGCCATCCTGCGCCCCGCCAGGCTCAGGGCCACCATGGCGTGCGTCTGGCTGGCGGCCGCCGGGCTGAGCGCGCAGCGGCTCTACTGGGCGCAGACCGTCACCGTCGACCTGCCGGGGCTGTTTGAGGTATACGCCGCGACATCCGAGGACTCGTGCATGACGGGAAAAAGAAATTTCAAGTTTCGAAAAGATGTTTACTCAAAATTTACCTTCAAGTACCAGCAAACCAGCAATAAACCGCAGGCGATAGCTCAGGGGTGAACGCCTGCGAAGCTCAGGGTAGGCCGTCCCGCAACGCACGCCTGTGGGGCGGGGTGGCCCGCCCGGCCCCTGCACTCCGCAGGGGTGAGGTAGGCCGCCCGGCGGGCACTGGTGCGCGGCGGGACTGCCTATCCCCCATCTCGCAGGCGGTTCTCGCTCGTAGATCCGTGGCAGTATTAACGACTTGGAGACGCGCAGTGAGGACTAGAGGGCCGAGGGCCACGTTGAGAGTGAACTCGCTGACTTTCGCCTTGGTTGATCCCGCACAGGAGATCATCTGCATCTCGAACCGGCACAAGTACGACCAGAAGCTGTGGGACGTGGTGACGTTCGTGCTGCTGTACCTGCTGCCGCTGTCCGCCATGGCCGTGCTGTACGCGCGCATCGCCGCCGTGCTCTGGGGCTCCGGGCGCGGGCTCGCCGTGCGCCAGCCGCGCGCGCGCCGCAGCGCCGTCAGGCTCACCGTCACCGTGGTGCGTGTGTCTAAGGCCAGGGTGTCCGGCAGGTCGTCCCTCAAACTCTCAAACTCGACGACTTGGGTCGACTGCCTGCTGGACACCGTCTGGTCTTCTGGGAATGGGCGGGCAGACTGGCACTGGGTGGAATTCCCATAGACTCATACGATACAATTTCTCGGAAGACCAGAATGTGTGTCCAGCATGTATCCAGGCTAAACTAACCATGAGGAAGGCCATGGTAAAATATCAACTATGGTAATACATGGTAGTCCATGGTCTTTCATGGTTTAATGTTGATTAACCATAGTATTATGGTCATGGTGATCCATGGTTAACCATGAACAACATGGTTAAATGTTGGAAAAGGTATTGCTGAGGAACCGGAAACCATAATCCATCGTCAAGTTACCATGATATTATGGCTCCTCGTAAAAAAGATAACCATGGTTACCCATGGTTATTTTAGCCTGGGAGGGAGTCGACCTAAAGTCTTTGGGGCCTATGCGACCTTAGTCGTTTACCTGCTGCACACGCTAGGCTGTTAGTGTACCCTTGCCGAGGCCGATTCTGACTGACCCTCCTCGTCAACAGGTGGGCGTGTTCGCGCTGTGCCACCTGCCGCTGCACGCGCGCCGCCTGTGGCAGCACTGGTCGCCGCTCTACCGCGGCCCGTCCACCTTCTCGGCCGTCTTCACGCCGGCCACGTTCCTGGTGGCGTACGCCAACTCGGCCGCCAACCCCATCCTGTACGCGCTGCTGTCGCGCAACTTCCGGTCCGGGCTGCGCGACGTGCTGGGCCTCATCCCCTTCCGGCTGAGGGGGCGGCGCGGCAGCGGCAGCAGCAGCAGCGGCAGCGACGGCAGCGGCGGCCCGGCGGCCGGGCGGCGGCGGCACCGGCCTGCGGGCGGCAGCATCCTCAGCCGCACCGTGGCCACGGCCATGACGGAGCTGCCCACGCTGCGCGACCACTCCTCGCTCGACCTCGCGGCCGAGCAGCGCCTCGTCGCCAAGGAGGAGCGCTTCACGACGGTCACGGCGCTGCCCGGCCTGCTCCTCCAGCAGGGGCACCCCGCCGAACAGGGCGTTGGGCTCATGGCCATGAACAACATGGCCCTGGAGCACGACGACGAGGACGAGGCGTGAGCTCGTCGAGTGACTCGGGCACGCCTCTATGCTGATGTGCATTCTTTTGTTCCCTGTGAGCACCCCCCACGTCTGTGATTTCGAAACACCGTGAACTAAACCGCGCCCGTCGGCAAGTGTTTCCTCCGCCTTCCTCCAAATATTTGAATGAACCCTCCCTTCATAAGACTTACAATTTGGGAAAGTAAATGAGACCAAATGTCATCACCTGGTATGTGTACAGCAGGGATTGAAAACTTAACATTTTGGGAGAAGTTTTGCGTGTACATCGCGCAAGCCACTTGTGGAAAACAAAGTGATCCGTAGTTTTAACCTTTCTGAAATTGATTTTTAAATTTAAGCTATCATATTATCGCTTTTGTTTTACGAAAGACGTTTAAGAGATTGAGACATCAAATATTCGAAATGTTAGGCTTGTAACCCTGTGCGTGCGCCACGATGCGATGCGACGCTATTATTTAGCGTTACCTACTCATGCACCCCCCCCCCCCTCCTGCGCCCCGCCTAGCTGTAGGGGAGTGGGGCGCCGCGGAAGTGCTCTTCCTGCTTCCGAGAGGTAAGGGGTACGAATCAAAGCAAGGGAAAAACACGACAACGTACTCAGGCACCTGCCCGGGTCGGGTGCCGCGGAGCAGTACGTAATGTCGCTGAGTTTGGAAAGTCACGATTCCGAGCTCCTCTCCGGGCGGCAGCAGGCGGAGCGCGGCGGGACGGGGCGACCGGAGGCGCGCAGGGACTATCCGGGAAAACTTCCCCGGCGTGATCGTCCGTGATCGCCTTCCAGCAAGTGTTTGCCCAAAAGAGGGGTTGGAGGAGGACCCCCCCCCCCCCCCAACTCCACGTCCCCGAACGGTGGCTTTTGTTTGCCTTGCCTGACAAAAAGCGGCCATTTCGACTCGAGGACTTGGTCCCTTTCGGCGTGTTGCTAAGATTGTAAAGAAAATGTTTTAGATCAATTCGATTTTTGGCCCGTGTTGCTGAACGACTTCAAATTTAAAAATCTTACGGAGAATTTCACCAAAAGTCTTAGTGAAGTCGGCAGCTCTGTAAGTTACGGTCTTGAGCTTGAGCGGGAGCCTCAGTGAATGTCACTAGCAACGGAAAATGTCACTGCACCTGCACCAGCAGGGTGCATAGCGGATCACTGTATCTTACTGCAATATTCACCGTAGCTATCCTGGAAATTTACCCTAATTTACAGTGTTGCAGCGTTCACTGTAGCTCACGGTGAAATTCAGTGAAAGCTTTTACTAGTCGGCAAAATGTCAGCTTTGAACCCTTGTTTCGAAATTGAAGGAGACTTTTTTTTACCTGGGCTTTCTATTGATGTGTTGATACATGTACCTCACAAGTTCAGTACTCTGCTGCAAGACAATTTGACACAGTCCAGTACAGATTAAACGGTCAGTCTTTTTACTGTTGCAGTTTAACTCAAATGCCTTAATTTTGCAGTTAAAACTTTGTCATGTTTTTGCACGGTGTACTCTGTGGAGTATTATCAGTACACCCCTCATTGAAGGCTATGTTAATATATGCCCCGAACGCAGCTTCTATAACACAAGTTGATTGATTTGTTCACACCGTCGTGTTGTGATAGTACAGGAGGTTCGGAGATATTTTGTGATAAATTATTGTCAATAAAAAAATATTTTACGCGCAGTAAAATTGACCAAGATTTTATTTCTTAAAATAGAATATTGGTTTTAAACTGTCGGTCTTTTCCCATGAAAGTCATAAGTTTTCATACGGGAGACCACACGTATGGGTGGTCTAGTCTACGCCGTGGAGATAGGCAACCCATCAGACCCGGCGGGCGGCACGCGGCCTGCGCTGCAGACCATTTCGGCTGGGTTGGCTTTAGTCTCTCTCTCTCTCTCTCTCTCTCTCTCTCTCTCTCTCTCTCTCTCTCCATTTTTATTTAAAGCGCAACAGGCTGGCGTTGCGAGAGGGAGAGGGCGAAAAGAGTGTTCTTGAAAATCGTCTCTCGTAATCACATCTCGCTTTATTTGCTATTCCGTACATAAGGCTGCACCCGCCCCGGCCTAGGGGTGCACGCTGCTCTGCTGGGCCTGCCGTACTCCGGAAGGGAAGTTTAACTTGCCAAGATCAACTGACTTTGATTACTCGGTCAGAAAACGAGGCAGGGCTCAGCACAGCATATAAACACACACACATACAGCGTGCATGAGTGTCATTTTCTCGTGTCCACAATTGAATAGGATTTTTAAAGTAGACGGTAGAGAAAAAAAGTTCTTGGCCATCGGATAGCGTGTACACGGCAACCTTGTGCACCTACCGCCGGGCTCGGGACGAATATTTTAACAACACATGAGTCGCCTCGGCTTGATGGAAGTAATGACAGCCATGGTGTGCGCCAAATTTAACAGTGTAGAGGAGATGACATGGCCGATGAATATCGAGTGGCGGCTTGGCGTGTCATCACTTTGGATCAGCGTCGGTGCTGGAGTAGAGACCGCAGGCCTGGTCCCCGGTCCAAGGCTGACCCAACGCAATATATCACGCATATGCTGCACTCGGTACTCTCTTTAAGTGATATATAATATCTACATAGCAATCGGAAATACATTTCCAATTCTCTGCGGATCCATCGATTTTACAACAAAAAACAAACACTTAGAATTTCTGTACACCTACACAAATTATGTACATGAATTTGGCTTTCCACTTTGTTCAACTTCTTTGCTCTCCTAAGGGTCACACCTTACAAGACTGGTAACTTAATATCACGACAAAACTATCATATAAACGTACAAGCGCCTTGCAAGGTTTGACAGTTTTGGCCCCTTCTTTCAATAACAAATATATTACACAATAATAAAAAGAAACTATCGAGCACCAGAGAAATGCGCATATTGCGCATACCAACGCGCCTTACAAAACAAACATTTAAATTATTATATGAGGCTAAGCCTTCGTCGCCGACCCGTGCTGGTTTTTACAACAGCTTCATAACTATCGCCTTTTAGCACAACAAAAACATACACACACATTCACATCGAAAAATGCACGCACAAAAACACAACGACGTTTTACTGTGAAGCTTAAAAAAGCCACATCAACGAGACGAGGCGCGATACGTTCATCGCTGAGTTCTAAATGAAACACTCGCACACTACATCCTCCCCGCACGCTGGACGAAGTTTATTGGCGGAGGGCTGCTGGCATCTCGACGACCCGACGCCACTTGGGGGATGGACCCGGCGGAGGCCTGGCATATGCAAGCGCCCAGGCTCGCCCCCCGGGCCCACTCCCCCACCACAACTCTGATTAGCATTTGCCACAGTGAAGACGACATGGCTGACAGCCGTCCCCCGTTCGGTGGTTTGGCGGCAGTGGCGTGGCGTGGCGTGGTTGAGGGCTCGACTAGGGCGGACCAACCCTACACGCTGACGGGCATCCTCTTGAGATTGGTGCTCAGGATGTCGCCGGCCTGCACCACGGCGCCCCGCAGGTCGGAGGCGGCTGCCGACTGCAAACGAGAATGCGGCCATAGCTAGCATTAATAAGATGAAAACGACTCAATTTTAAAGGAATGGGCGCGACAGTTTACCGGGTCCACCGTCCGGACCGCCTTGCCGTCCCCGCTCTGCACCAGCTTGTCTAGCGCGGCGAAGTCGAAGTCGAAGGGCTCCAGGCCGGTAAGCGACTTGAAGGCCTCCGTCCTCCCGGAGGCCGAGGGCGACGACGACGACGTCCTGGACGAGGAGCCAGCCGCGGAGGCCCTGGCCACGTCCCGAGGGTCGGCCTGGTTGTCGGCGAGATCCTCCTGGTCCGAGGCCGCGGCCGCCGCCTGCCGGCCTCTCGCCACCTCGTCGTCCGTGGCTCTTTTCCGGGCCGCGGCGGCCGCGTCGGCCGGCACACCGAACAGGCCTCGGAACTTGGGCTTCAGGGCCTCGACGAAGCGCTGTACTCGGCGCGCCGTGTTCTGTCGACGGAAAAAAATACATAGAAAGCGCCCCTTCTAATACATGTCTATGCTTACGCAATTTTCAGTGGTAAAATGAGATCTTTGTTTTGCGCAGACCAGGATGACATCGCCGAGGATCTGCGAGATGTTGGTGACCAGGGTGAAGGACGACCCGAACAGCTGCTCGGGGATCTCCAAGCTGACGCGGTTGCCTTCGAAGGTGGGGATGTTGTCGGTAGTCGGACCCTGTGGCACAAATCCTCTTTAAGTCTGGTCCCTCGACAAGGAGCGGCGTTAACTCACTGTGCGCCCAGTGCAGATGTCGTCTCTGGTTGTCTCGGGTCGTCTCGGGTCACGTCTCATTTGGTCCGATGCATTGCCGTCAGGGGTGCGAAGGCACCATCTCGAGGAGGGGCAAGGAAGGTAAAGTATTGTATGGCGAAAACTTGTCGTGATGGCATCGTTTCTATCTCAAGTTTCCTGCTGTTCGGAAAGACTCTGCGACTGAAATGTGACCGAACTCTTTCCTCCGCGTAACTGCAGCAGTTGGTGGCGTGGGGAACAACAAACCAACCCTCCCCTCGGCTCTCCAGGCGGTAGCCTACGATAGGGGCTTTGGACTGATCCGAGCAGCCACCTACTGAAGCCAGCGTGTCTCGTCTGGGGTGGGTGTGGACTGGGGTAGGGTGGGAGGGAGACGGGGCGTTATTCGCAACGGAATGCCAGAGAAGGAAGCGTAGTCCGTGAAATATATTTGCAGCTTCTCGGAAGACAATTCCAGCATGTCTATTAAAGCCTGCTCTGTTTTCTCCGGGCATTTCTTGTGATACAATAATTATAAAGTACATTCCATGCATCATGTGTAACACTGAAAATGCCAGAGTCAGATATCTTACTCTCAGGAGACTGAGATCAGTGACACAAAAAATCTTACTCTCCTGAGAGCCAGATATCTGACTCTCACCCAATTTGAGTCATAATTTGCGGTCCTCACCCAATGAGAGTAGGTTCCTCACTGCAATTGGGCGAGGTCAGGGAAATCTTACTCCTCCATAGTGATAATTCGGTGCATATATGACTCAAATAGGGTGAGCCTTATAGTCATCGCTCTGATTGAGCGAGGCAAAATTGTCTCACTCATTTCGAGCACGACACCTCACTCAAAGGTTTTCAGTGAATGTTTAACTTTCTTTTTATGAGAGTAAAAAAAAATGTTCCTCTGAATTTATCTATTTCAACTATACGAAAATAAATTTTAAAATGATTTTTGTCAGCAGGGTGTGTTTTTTGTGTTGTCAAGACAACGCCAATGTTTTATTTGAAAAGAAAAACAACAATGTTGTGGACTGCTGGTAAGATATACAATATTCCAAATTCCGAGACACATTTATTTGTTTTCTCTCTCGCGTTTAACTGGGCGCAAGGGTTGCTTCGGCCGCCGGCGGAAGCCGGAAAGTCGGTATGCGAGGTCGGGGGTATACGTATGGCCCGCCCGTCCACCTTTCGGCCCTCTGTGTGCAAAATCAGGTCCCCTATCCTAGCATTGGCATCCTGCGGCGGACAGGGGCGCGGAGGAAGGGTCATGCGATTGGTGGGATAGGGGGGGGGGATGCGGAGGTTGGAAAGAAGGGGGTGATGGGAGGGGGTAGCAGAGTCGCTGCCGTGCCCGGAGTGGATCCACGAGGACAGCACTATAAAGGGGGACGCTAGAATGGGGCTCTGGTCCGCGGGGAGCGTGGCGGGCCGGGGATGGGTGGGTGGGGAGGGAGGGATCCGAGGGATCCTCCTTGTGAATGGAGAACAGACTGTCGGGGACCCGCTACCCGGGGACCTGGCCCGGGGGCAGGCCCGCAGGCCACGGGCTTGAGGTGCCGGTGGGCAGGGCAGGGGGCAGGGCCAGGCGCCGGCTCCTAGCCACAGGTACGCGCGTGCGGCGTGCGCGTGCCTCCAGCGTCTCCAGTGCCTCCGGCATCTCCAGCGTCTCCAGTGCCTCCGGCGCCTCCAGCATCTCTTACCGCAGGCCCGAGCCCGGAGGAGCGTACTGCGCCGCGCCCGGCCCGCCGCGCCCCTCACACACGGAATTGACAAACTAGAGAGCAGGGTTGGTTGCCGAGGACAGAGGACACGGCCAAAGTCTGTGCTGCCGTTGTGTTGCTAGTTGGGGGGCAGGGTAACTGCTCGTGCTATGCGACAAGACATCTTGACTCGCCTTACTTGAGAAAGCTTGTGAGGCCACACATTTTTGGCTGTAATGTATGCAGTGTTATGATCTGCTGCAGTCAGACGGTTAAAGTTGGTTTCACATTTTTTATTTCACAAAGTTTTTCATCACAATTTACATATCACATTTGCTCCATTGTACAAAATTACTGAGCGGAGAGGACGAATTATGTACAACAGAATGGAACTAAAAAGTTGGAAACTCCGGTTCCAAAAAAATACATAAGAATATGAGTCGTTGAGGTATTCTCCTAAGATGACATTCAAAGTGATGTTGCCTAATAGTACAGTTGAAGAAATGGCTCTTATTAATCTATCGGCATTATAACTATATTTGAGCAAACTGAGCTCTGGTAAGGCATGACACGAACTCAGAAGTAATAATTTCATGATAATAAGGACTCTTACATTATGGTTATTGTACAAAACGCGCTGAACACAGAGAGGCGGTGTATCTCCCTTCCAATGATAATGAGAATTTGAAAGGTACAAAATTAAATTAAGAAACGGCGATTGGTGACTGTTGACGATGAATGGTGCTGATGTGTTGAGCTGAACAGCCTGTACATGTGTTGGGATTTGATCTGGGACTACGGATACTGTGACAAAAGGGATAGCGACTGGTTAGGATGTGGGTCTTGCCAACACCAAGCTTGGAAATACTTAAAAATAATCGAGGAACTTGGCAAAAGCAAAATAATAAAACCAACAAAGCAAGAGCCAGTGGGAATGTAAAGAGATCGTGATGAAAAATTCCCTAGAACCAAGTAGTAGTAGTTGAACTGAGGGTAACCATTGTTTGGGTAGGCCGGACCCTCGGTAGGAGCTAGGCCCAGAGAGGTAATTCGAGGAAAGCCGGAAGCCAGCCAACCGTTCAACTATACTACCAGGTCCTAATTCATTACAAGTTTACATTCCCACTGACCGGTACACTCTAAATGTCCACGAACATATATTGCAACTAGCACCCATCGGACTTCTAGGGGCGCGTATAAGCGAACTGAAGTTCAGAGAGAAAAGTGTAACTTGATAGCTATTAAACTGGTATTGTCAGTTACAACATGCATCTGAACTTACACTCGTGAGCAAAATTAAAGCGCCACTTTTTTGACAGGGCGTAATTTCGAAGTGTGATTAGGTAGGAGGTTGCCGTTTGGCAGGAAGATAGGCTCATATGTTGGCATCAGACCCCTGAAAGCGCAAACCTTGATCACGAACGGTTCGCGAGCTGTGGGGCCTAACGCATCGCGACACCCC